TTTAGAATATTGAATGCATTTCAAAAAATAATTTAAAATACTAGATGAATCACAAAATATTTTATAATGCTAAAAGCATTTAAAAAAATAAGTTAGAGTGCTGGATGAACCATTAAATATTTTAGGTATTGGATATATCTTTACAAGGGAAAAAAAACTTTCTATTTGGTAAAATATATATATAAAAAGAAAGAAATAAAGTAAAAATTTTAAGCTATTTAATTCGGTAGGACACTAATTAAATTGGCTAAATAGAACAAATTGAAAAATAGACTTTTCCAACACTTCCCCGCTGGATCTTTGTAGATTTCATTTGTCTTTGATAGTATATATTGTGAGAGAATGATGTTTGAACTCTTTGAAACCATAGTGCCACCGTATTATCATTTTCCAAAAGGGGGAAAAAAAAAAAAGACCTGCACATTTATCGATAATCAAAATATCCACAATAAAGTTTTAAATATGAGCCTCAGGCTCTGAGATATTTTCTTCATTTTGATATTAGTCACAAGACATTTGTTAACTGAACTAAAGTATCACTTTCCTTAATTTTGTTTTTTCTTATTATTTGTCTTATTACATTTTGCCGATTTAGGTGTTTAGTTAGTACAGTAAAATAATCTAATATGGTCAGGATTTTAATAGATTATAGTAGTAATAAATCAGATAATCCCTACTGCATAACTTTGGCTGAACGAATCATACTGTTGTAGACTTATAATATTCCTTTACATTATTGATTTTGCCGTCACTCAAGTCACATAACATTACCATTTTATGTTGAATACTATACCAACGTAAGATATCCAACCTCACAAAAATATGCATGAGATGCTCATCCTTCCCAACTTTAAGGCTTTTTTTTTAAAAAAAAAAGCTTCTTTTAAGTGTTTATAAGCATTTTCGTGTTAAGCAAGACAAAACCCTTCTCACACACTTATCTTATATTCTCTTGATCACCAATGAAAAAATGGTTTTTAAGATCTCCTCAACTATTATTTACTGTTCAAGTGCAACTTTCTTTTACATTTTTAAAATCTCATGCAGACAGAGAGTATGATAACCTTATTTGGTACTAAATCGGTTAAATTTTCACACCAACTTTGATCCTTACAAATAACAGTTTTTTAAAATAATTTTTTAATCTTTTTTTAACTTATTAACCTGAAATATTTCTGAGCAAGGAGAGCACCCCATTTGACATGACAAGAATAACCTCAAATTCAAACCTCCCAGGACTAATTAGGATAATAAATTAAAAGGAATTGATGACAATGTAAAGTAATGATTGCCATCATGACACATTTAAGACTCTTAAAAATTTTAAAATCAAACAAAATACCAAAAAGCTCTCAAAGGTTTAGAGTAGTCGGTTACCCCATTGACATCAAAAAAAGCCAAAGTACTTGGTAAAGCAATATTTCCTGTCTACAATACAATCACTTACCACTACCACAATCAAACATGTTCCTTCTTCTTCAAGATTCTACCCTTTCACTTTATGCCCCCCTCTCTGCATGATTGAAAGAAATTTAAAACCAAAATCATTAACCCACCTAACTCAAGATAAATAGATGCTGTTGTGAGTTACCTGAATTTAACTTTCAGGTGAAAACAAGAAAAGAGAAATAGAGAATGTTTTCAAGACATAGATGGGACCCACATCACCTTTTTTAAGTCCCCATATAAATGAATCCCACTTTTATTAATTTTTACCTTTGGTAACTTCAGGTAATCAATCAATCATTCAATCCTCATACTGATACAGGATGAGGGAAGAGGTTTGTTACTTTGGAAATGAAAAGGCAGTGACAGCTTCAAGAAAAAACCGGCAGGTTTATGAGAAGAAACAAAGGGCTGAGTGTGAAAATAATTTTGTAATAGACGATCATCTCACAGCTGCTATGTACGTATACACATATATAGGCAGATACATGATCTACAATTTTAAAGTGAGTGGGAAGGAAAAAGCAGAGACATTATGAATAAAGGAGATTAATGATGAGGAGACATCGAAAGTATGAAGATTCTTGTAAAAAGATGGTCTTGTCCTGTGCCCCAATCATCACTATCCTCCCTCTCTCCCTCTCCTAGAACCAGACTGGAATGAACAATGAAATTATACCATACAACCAATGCAAAAACCAGTAATATAGGTTTTCTTTTTCATTGGTAAGCAGTCAGAATTGCTTGCCCTTGCCGACATCATCCACTTTCATTACACCAAATTATGTAGTATCATGAACAATTTAAACATATATAAATATATATATATATATATATATGATATCAGCAATACAGCATTCTACTCTTCTAATGACTTCATCCCACGCTGGTTATTCATTCCATCACTAAGAAATTTTTAGGTAAATTTGGTTCATGATTATTTTTATCTTTTTCTTTGTTTTCCTTAATGGGCGAGTTATTCAATCTCAGATATTATTGAATAATCGGTATTCAAGCTGTGTTGGCTCCAAATAAGGGAAAAATTTATTGAAGTAATTTTCCCCCCCTATTCACGCAACACTTAAATTTAAAACTTTGTTTGTTTATCAGTTATTCACATAATTATTTGACTTACTGCTGGTCATCAACGGGGGTCAAGAAGGGACACTTCCATTATTCCTTTCCTGGAAGTAGGTGAAGAAATATAAATCCATAGCTAGAGAACATGAAGAAAGGAGGGAGATAGGGTGGTTAATGCTAGATTCAAGCTGCTTTATCAGATTACAGTAAAAGGACCCCATGGGGTCTGATTTTTATTAAGCACAGAAGTTGCAAGAAAAAGGTAGTATAATATTCTGTGGGCAACAGACAGCCATAGCACGATAGAAAATTATTTAACAACCAAGATCCAAGTGATATATAACAACTAAGGATTTAAATGTTCCACCTCAAAACTCAAAATAAAATCATACATGCAAATAAACATGAAGAGGCAGAGATAGATTTCAACCACCTCACGAAGGAAACGTTCATGCAATTATTTACAAGTAAAGAGGACAATGCTTGCCTTGCTCTAGTTTGATAGCCTATGTCCAATTCGAGAACATAAATCTATCAGTTTCTATATTCTCCAGAAGTATGGGCACCAAGAAAAGGGAAAAAAGAACTGCATGATAGGAAGAGGCAAAAAGAGATGTTAACACCATCAGAATTAAGAACTCAAACCAGTTGAACATGGCCATGGTTAAGACTAAACCCGTTTAATTTACATGCAAAAACAGCTCCATGACGTTACAATATACCCTTTCAACCATATCATGTATCTTCTTATGCCGACAGCCCTCCTTGCTTCCACTTTCATCAAGACTTTTATTAGCAATCATGACAACTCAAACGGTTCATTCAGAAAACCTCCAAATTTCAACAATTAGATAGACAATAGTTTGCATAAGGCCCCATGAACTAGTGAATTATCACAAAATTTTATGTTTGAAACCAAAGTTACCAAAGGTTGTGGGCTAAGCGAAAAAAACAAGAAACACAGACACACACACATAACAGAGAAAAAGGGCGGATGGATTGATGTGAAGGAAAGCCACTCATACCTCACTTTTCTTTGACCACGACACTAACACGGACCCCCACTCCCCATGGTGGGGCCCTCCAATTTCATAAACGAACACGAGATTTGCCAGGTGACATCTACTACTAGAACTGCTTCTTTGGTTATAGAGATTCTCTCTCATGTTATTCCAAGGTTGACCCACGTCATCACCAACTCTGGTTAGCCACCCACCCTACTCATTCAAGCCATTCCAGCTCTGCAGCAAACAGGAAACAATCAAACTTTCGGAGCCAGTGAAACTTCAGTGTCATTTTTTAGCATCCTTATTCATGAAAAATTATTTGTTCTTTGATAATCAAAATCAATTTTTAAGTTGGAATCAAACAGCTGAGACAGAAATATAAAAAAGTAAAAATTTCAAGCCTTGAATAGCTAGGCCGAACAATGGCCAGAAAGCGAGTTTCCTCTTTGCAAGAATCTCAGGAAAAAGTTAGATTAAGGGGCAAAAGATATATGAGGGATGCTTGCGCTTATAACTACAGTTGAGAGTGGATTCGTGCTTTATTACTTGTTTTCATATGGATTAGGATATCTCTTAACTTGTTATATTCTTCAGCACATCGCGTCCTTTTGAACTATTTTCACTGGGCAACGTATATTAGTTAACTAAGTATTCTCTCAACGGAAGCAAAACAAGAATAATAATTGATCCCTTCTTCGTCAAGCAAAATAGTCGGGTTAGCTCCATTAACAGCAAGTAACAGGTCAATGTTCAAGTGGTTCACAAATAAGGAAACTCAGAGATCTAGATTTTACCATAGATCACGAGGAGTACCTCAAATCTTCTATACCAGGCACAGTTTGCTCAAAACAGTGAGACATTTCGTTCTTCTGTCAACTCAGTTTAGAACCAAGATCAGATATAAAGAGCCCGAAAAAAGTAGAGCACTGTAGTGTTATGAGGTGATGGGACGGTAGATCAGGCAGCAAAACAGTAAAATATTTCATTTTGTTAAATTCACACCATATATCATGAATCACAAGAAGAGTTTAGAAAACAGGATCGTGTTATGGCATGTCAAGACATGAACCATCAATGAAGAAGAATAAACAAAGGGCCACTAACTATTGCAGCATCGTTTTTGCCTTTTATATGAAGAGATCATGATAACCCCTCTCCCTTTCTTTCAATATAATGATGCCTTTCAATGAACTTATTCTAATTAAAAACTGTTGCTCCAAACATAAACTTTCCTTCTGTTTTAGTATTTTCTCAATTCACACAGCCATATAATTAGTGTGGTCTTAATTGCTGGATTATGCACCTGTGTGTGATTCCAAGATCTCATCAGTGTTAAGGACTTATAAAATCAACCATGAAAATTTAAAGATAAATCCAAACCAAAAGGACATAAAGGATTTGGATAATCTCCCATGCCATAATGGTCATGTAAGGTGAGAAATAGACGTTAAATAATAATCCCAAAAGAACGAAAAAGAAAGTGTCTATGTCTTTACTTACATGACCATCATTATTATGCTATTGCCTATATACTATATGAGAGTATCCGATTTCATCCATTTTACATAAAGTGAAGAGGACTAAATTTTTTATCGGGTATCTCAGCAACAGCCGGAAGCTTCAAATTTCCCACACGAGGAAGTGAATGACACGACGTCGTTCACTGAGGCCAATTCTTTATCTGCATTTCATAAGATCTTATGTACCGCAGCTTTTAAGTGAAAAGTTCGTTTTGAAATACAAGAATAAGAATAATTCTCAGAACAAAGCACTCGAGGAAATTTCTATGACATTCTTCTGGCTTTCTTCCTGGATGCATGGTTATTTTTCTCATAAATGAACTGAAGTTCTTCCACAAACTCTAAAAACCCAAAATAACAGCCGGGGAAAAAGATTGATGATTTAATAAAATAAAATGTGATACCACAGCCGCTAACTGGGTTTTTGAGACCCTTCCACTATCTGGTTTTTTTTTTTTTTTCCTTTTTTTCAGTCACAATCACGAAAATTTTTCCATAGTAAACAAGTTCAGGAAAGAATATGATAAATCCTACAGTTACAGAATTCTACAGGAGTTTGAAAAGAAAAGGAGCACATTACACTACGGGTGCCTCAGCAAAGACTTCAGCCAGCATTCCATCCTCACTACCCGTCATGGCAAAGAGTTCTGCATCCTTTTCTTCCTCACAAGAAATGTCTCTCTTTTCAAGTTTGGCATGAGCAGCAATGTATATCATCTTCTGAACTCTCTCCAATCCAACTCGGGAGTTCTTATTTGCAGTTACTTTTCTCATGAAAGACCAATTACTCTTGAACGCACATGAGGTCGCATGCAGAAAAATAAGCCTTACAGCAATCTTCCCTAGAGACTTAAACTCACTCAAGCAAGTTTCCCACACAAGTCTACTGCTTAGTGGGTTGGCTACTTTCATCTTCCCAGTCACAGGGTCCTTTTGTTTCATCTGAACAGCCTGTGCATAAAGTGGGTCGAGCCCTTCTGACCTCCATTTCATGAGCTCCATCAACACAACATGAGCATCTTCTCTTGAAGCTAGCCTTGTTAGTAACTTATCTACATCTTTTTCTTGTTCACGCGTCAAGCATTTGAATGGAGGAAGGTATTTCCCACTAGCGTCTTTGATCAAGTAAAGTGGGTCGAGTATAAATGCAGCCGACCAAGCAGGGTGGTAATTCTTTCTGAATCTTTTTTCAAGTATTTTCTCCACAGGTCCTTCTGCAACGTTGTACTTTGCACACCACTCCTTCACTTTGGTCCTTGTTTCCTCCCAGAGAGGCAGGCATCGACCAATCAGTGGCCTCTCAGCCTCAATATCTTGAACCGTCGCTTTGATCAACTTTACAAGAGAATAAACTGCCTCCAATTCGTTCCAGAATCCCTCACTCTGAACAATTGCAGCAACTTCTCTCGCTTGTGGATCCTCCACGCATGTTACTTTAAACGAGTCTTCCAACATAACCATTTGGATCACCCTAGCACAGCCCAGTATGTCCTCCAACATTGGAAAGACAGATGCAAAGTTATTCAAATAATCACATTTGGGCGATGGAATTCGAAGCAACCCCGTGTATTCAAGCTCCTGCATCCGGTACTTGAGAAAAATGTTCCTAACCTGAGATTCATTGTTTATATAATTTGCAACTTTAAGGCAATTCTCAGTCACAACCCTGAAAAGTGGGAGCTCTTTGTTAAAATCCTTGATTAAACTAATGAACCCCTGAAGCTGACAATAAATATTTACCATCCAGTGATTCTGAAACTCCAAGTTCCTCAACGCTTTGGCCTTATATTTGTCTGCCACAATTCCCACACATCTCTGCACAACATTTCCACTTACACCTGCGACCGTTTCCCATAAAAGCTCCTCCGCATACTTGGAGGACGTGACTCCCCCAGTAAACACTGCCTTTTGGAACACACTAGTCCCATTTGGAAGATTAACAGTAAACTTCACTAAATTCTCTCCCCCACAACACAAGCTGTACCAGTTCTCGTTCTTCCAGCCATCACTAGATAATTGAAAAAACATAGCATCTCTTATTTTGGCTTCTGACTCGGCTTTGACCTCATTGAACCTAGCATCAAGTCGACAACCCGAGATTTCACGTCGCAGAGTTGTTGTCGGCAAACCCACCTGGCTGAGGAAGGCTTGAAATTTGGCCTGCTCAAGAGCTGAGAACGACACAGACCCACATGATTCGTAGAACCAATCCGCGAGCAACTCCAGAGCAGAGTTAATCTGTTCCTTGCTTAGAACAGGACCTGGTGAGGCCTTAGGACTCTTGAGTTTTTTCACACTATCTTCAAACATGGCCAATGCACTCAAATCCTCCTTCCCACCAGAAAGCACCAAATGCTGCTGATTTATCCCAACTGAGTTCTGCACCTGTGAATAACTCAATTCGCCGTAAAACCGAGAGGACTCGACCATTGCCAAGGAATTATTTTGATAACTTGAAGGAGGAGAAGTCGGAACCGTTTGAGGAGAGCTTCTCTTTTTGTGATTGTTGGAAGCAGGCAAAGCCACTGAAGATATCGGCATCGGCGAGAGCGACGAATTGGGCCTCAAACCGGAGCTAAAATTGGGGCACGTGCCCCTCTTCAAGTGCTCCGAAGCAGTTCTCGACGGGTTCGAGGCCGAGAACACAGAGTCACACAAAGAGCATTTCAGCTTCACGGATTTTGGAACCCCGGTATCGGGATTTCGAATCAGAACGGGTTCCAAATGCGCCCAGTACCAAGCTCCTTTGCCCTTTATGGCTTTAGTTCGCACAGTGACCAATCCTTCATACCGTTTGTTCACGGCCTTGACCGCTATATCGTCGATGGAAGGAAGCGGCTCGGTGGATGTGGAGGTCGTGGAAGCCATTGGGCAAAGCGGGTCCAAATTGGCGTAAAAAACAGGCTCTTCACGCTCTCTAAGATTCAACGTCAAAACGGGGCTCCCGTCGGGAGTCGAGCTAGTAGTACTCGAACCATGATGGTAGGTGTGACTTTCGTTTTCTTGCATCTAACCATAAAGGGTCGCCGCCAAAGACGGCGTCAAAGCTAGTGGGTTCAGCCGGAGTCCCATGCAGAAAACCGGCGATAGAAGCAAAGCGAAAGGGAATTGTCAATGGCAAGAAATGCCAACACAGTATAAAACAAGACGCTGGAAAAGGTGGCTACAGAAACCTCCTCACAGACTCTTCGGAGGAGATTGAAGAGACAGTTAGTAGAGAAGAAAGAGAGGAGATACGCATGTAGATCGAGAGGAGGAAGAAGAAGGAGACCAAGGTGGTGTTGGAGTCTGTTGATGGTTCAGGAATATTCATTCAGGGGGGGGTGAGTGAAGAAGGAGTGAGTAGAAATGAGTCAAAATTTGTATTTCACACTCAAAGAAAAGTCATGTTCACCTTTGTTTATTGGTGTCTGTTTCTCTCCTGTGGGGATTAGGTAAAACTAAAAACTCCTTTTTTTTTTCAAGGGGTTAAAAAAATATATTATAATTTAAAAATAAAATAAATGACACCATTATCATGTCAATAATACAGTCATCATTTTAGGGTGGGGAAAATTATGATATTAATTTAACCCATTTTATTATTTACTTTTAATTTTAATATTCGAAAGTTGCAAATTTTTTTGGCCCCACTTGTACACTTGGAATTAACTTTATTATTAAAATCTATTTGATACCTAATATTAATGATTAACTAGATTTCAGCGTATTATTACATCTTATATTAAATTTAAGATCTAATTTAGGAGGGATCAACTTTCTTTTAATTTAGGATTATTCATAGTCATAATACCAAATACGTTTTAATAGTTCAATAATTTTAAAAGTATGGATAATTTTCTGACTTATATGAATAAATGGTAATTATTTTTATTTTTTTAACTGAATAAATGGTAACTCTTAAATCCTAAATAAGATAACCTTACAGGGTAAATTATAGTAGCAGAAAATTTTCATTTGAACTATATTTTATCATGTTCACTTTATACCAATGTGTTGCATCAAAGTAAAACACAAAAGAAAAAAAGAAAGGAAAAAGAGGAAAAAGTGTAATAGTCTAATAGACTTAAAAGTCAACAATTATATTAAAACGTTTATTTTATTATCACTGCTTGTCCCCCTTGATCTTTATTTTATTTATTATTTTGGGTTAACATATTTTTACCTCTTTAATGGCATCCTACTTTCTTTGATTCGCTCACAGCAAGTCATATCCTATAATTATTGTAAGTGGGTACATAAGATTGGTCTTTTCTTTTGTTCATTCTTTTTCTTATTATAGTGGTAATAGAAGTTTAGCTATTTATAAATTATTCATTATTAAATTCAACTCATTGGACTTTTTTTCTATTATACTTCCGGTCCTAATTACAAAAGCTAGTTGACTAATTAGAATAGATTAAAAAAAATAAGTTAAGTTAGTTATTTGTAATAAACAGGTGTTGTCTTTCCTAAAATATATTTGCTAATCAAATTTATTGGTTAGAACTACTATTATTAGGGATACTACCTTAAAAAAAATGTATAAATATAAGACATAAAGTGAATTAGGATCTTATAATTAGGATCAAATAAAAGTTAAACGAGATCTTATATTAAAGATCGGAAATAGTACTACTAGTTTACGTTTTTTTTTTTAATGTTAAGTCTTTACTAAACATGCACAAATAATATTTCCTAAAATTAGAGGAGAGTGGAAGGACATAATTTATTAAAAGGAAGGGGGGGGGGAAGAAAAGAAAAGTTTCATTAATTAATTTAATTAAGGCAGATAATGAAGTGATGGATGATAATTAATAAGATTGTAGCACAACAACCAGCCATAATGTTCCATAGAATTTGACGAACAATTCTTGCCATCGTTTTCGCTCCTGTTCTTTCAACCCCCCCAACTTTATTTTTTATCATCTTAGGAAAAAAGTTTTATTAAGCTTTAAAGTAATTTTATATTTGATGTAAAGTAAATAAGCAGTATCATATAATATACTCTTACATCAGGTTTATAAAATGTTCAATTCAGAATTTAATGTATTCTTTATTAAGTTTGTGAGTCTTTAACTTGTTCCTTTATATAAATAAATATATATATTTCATCCCATTTTTTGTTATAAATTTTTCCCATGTAAGTCATATTCTTATATTTAATCGTATTGAATTCCCGTGTAAAGACTTGTATTGTATAATCATAATTTATAAATCATAAATTTAACTATGAACGAAAATGGATGTGTTTGTAAAGGAATTATATTATTTTTAGAGGGAATTACTCTAAGGTCATAAAAATAAGAAAAATATTTATTAAAAAAATTTCATACCAACTCAGCAGTTTGTGAGTATAAGAAATGATAACAGGTTTTAACTACTTACTTATTATTTTCTGGTAATCTTATTTCTTCCTTGGGAGCTTACAATAATTCCCTCTCTTTTTAATACAACTTGGTTTTATCTATCCACAAGTTTAATTGAAGGTAATTTTACGTAGGTCAATTATTAGACCTAACTCATGTAACTGTCATGTAAATAAATAATTCAAAATTTATTTTTTATACATTTGAAGATAAAAATGTTTTAATCTACAATTTAATTGGTGTGTGAACAGAAGATAATCCCAATCCCAGGATCAAAAAAATTTCAAAAAGAACAAGTAACAATTTAATCATTAATAGTGCCCGTTTGAGATTCTTTGTTTTCTTTTTTTCCTTCTATATATGAGACAAAAACACACAACCACACACAAATTAAGCTTAAAACAAAAGGCCTATTGCTCTAAATCTATATATCTATATAACTAATAAATAAATAAAAGTATAAAATGTTGTCGTGGGAGTAGGAGGACACTTTTGATGTTGTCTATAAATATTCTTGTTTATTTTTATTTATTTTTAAACACTTTTTGCCTATTTTTAAACAATTTTATTTCTTGCTTTTTATCTCACACATTAATTACGATTTTTCATCATGTTTTTACCTCGCGATTTATTAAACTTTTCTCTGAACTAGTTCACACTTTTTCAAGTTATTATTTATTTCATGTATTGTATGAGGAAAAAAAATCTAATTTATAAAATATATTGATATAAAGGATGGGGTTTTTAACCTATATATATATATATATATAGTGTATAAAATGTATTGCAGATGTGTCTATTTTATACCTATTAAAAAAATCCACATTTATGTTCTCTAATTAATCAAATTTACATATAACATTATATATTTTTATGCCTTTGATGCTTTAATGCTTTCAAATTTCAATGAAAGGAGGCATAAATGATACATAAGATACACAGTGTTAGTTGTTAGCTTAATTGTTGTCGATTATAATAAAAAATATATATTAAAAATATATGATTTTTTGAGAGCTTATATGTGGAGCATTTTGAGTATATTGAAGGATAATTTGTATCAGTTTATAAATCTCAGTTGAAGATAATTTGGTAATCTAATAGGGAAAATTATGTTTATATTTCTTGCTTGACTTTTTTGGATTTTTATGTTATGTCCATGTTTTAGCTTGCAATTTAATTTAAATTTAATGGGGATAAAGTGTTTTACCAGCATCTAAAAGTTTATTTTGACTCTTATATATTTTAAAATTTTTATTTCGTAAGATTTTTGTTTTGAACCATCATTTGCTGACATAAAGACTGCATAATTTAACAGTCAAACTGAATGGCGAATAACGACAGGGTATTTTTGTGACAAAATAAAACTTTTAGGGCATATAAGAGGGTAAAAAAAATTTCAAGTGCTCGATGCTCATTCATGGATATTTCAAAAATATTGAATCACCTTATCTCATTTAATGTATTAGGATGTGAAAAGCAAACATAAATATAGAAAAATAGATATAAATAATAAAAGGTTAGAGATATCTTTAATTGTTTGTAGTGATTTAAGACTCTAATTTCATGATTTAATTATATATGTGCGCGTGCATGGGTATCACAAGAGAGGAGTCAACACTAACTAATGAGAGCATGGTTATGACACTTGCATAAATACATAGAACTTATTTAAAAATAAATAAATAGTTGCCCTATAAGGTGAACACCAGTCCTTTGACACTACTAGTCATTGACTTATTATTCATATTTGATCAAATCTGACGGATGCAAAATATATTTTCTCCTCCTAAATAAAATATAAAGTTGTTGGGAAGTAATAATAAATTAAATATTATGATATATGTGTATCTTGATTATTTAAATATGATAAAATTATGTAGAGAAGAGAGTATGGAAATAGAGGGAAGAAAAGTCAAAGATACCTTGGGGAACAGGTTGATGGTTGATCAAATAATTGCACCTAAACTAAAGCCAATAAGTGGTTAGTTGTTGTGTTATGCTGTTACACCTTACATATATGTATTTTCAGCTCTTATGTTTCTTTCACTTTTCAATATTATAACTCCTAACCTCAAATATAATTAATTAAAAACTATTCAAGTGACACAAAACTTATCCTCAATCTTGAAATTGTTCTAAGATATGTCATAAATAAAATTTTGTACTGTTTAAAATATTACAATTGAACACCCCCAAGCTAGAATCTGTCGATATAAAATGTGTTAACTTTAAATTGTTAAAATAATTTGAAAATACTAAAAATTGAATTTCACTTGGATTAATAGAGATTGTTGCATGCTTGGTTGGTTCTTTACAAGTTTATTCTCTTAATTTGGAGTTCATATTTCACCATTTGACTAACATTCTATTTTAAAAAAAAAGAGAGTAAAATAACTCTGACTATCTTTCTAATTTGTATCAATTACACAGACCTCCTCTCTATTTTAAAAACCTATTAGAAATATTCTAAAAATATTATTTTTAACTAAAATGTATATGAAAATAAATTTTATTTACTATTTTATCACTCATTCTAATAAATTTTAAAATTCTATTTTTACAATTACACAAACTTTATTCAGTTAAGCCAAACAAAAAAAAATTAATTAAAAATTTAACTAATTTTTCAATAAATATACACACACATGACTAGATATGTTTATAAATTTTTGTAACAAAGATGTCTTTTAAAATTTTGAATTATAAATTTAAATAATTTATAAAATAGTTTAAATGTACAAAAACTATGTATTTGAAATATATTTTTACAATTTAAAAGAAGTCCAAGTAAATAATTTCTAATAAATGTGATAAAAATTAAAATAAATAAATTTTATAACATTTTAGAAAATTTAAAAATATATGTATTAGAATTATTTTTTGATTTTATAAAAGTATTTTTTGAAAATATAAATGCCTAAATAATTATGAAGTTAAAAGGGGGCATTTTAGTAAAAAAATAATTTAAAGTCAAAACTTACCAATCAACTAACAATTTAGATGGATGGAAATAAAACTATAAATAAAAGAGGAAGGTTTGTATAACATACATTTTAATTTTTAAAAAAGTTTATATACGTTTTTAAAACAGAAGAGAGGTTTCATAATTAAGATAAAATAGAAGGATGGTCAGTGTATTTTACTAAAAAAGAATAGAGTTGCTATTCTAAAAATAATCTTGTAAATGATTAAAAAAATATTTTTATTGGATTAAGATTTTTATACTTTCCTCTGTAATTGGTAAATCAAAATTTATTTTCTAATTATAAAATTATGATTATAACGTCATGACCAATTTAAATTGATTACCTAATATTATTTTATCACAAATAGTAATTTAAAAATAAATTTATTTTATATTTTATTCAATTCTATTAAAATTCAAATTCATTCCTAGTCTCGTTGTTTAATTATTTATATTAGAAATATAAAAATACTTAGTTCAAGTTACTTATATCCATTGTGTGAAGTTCTCTCATCATATACAGTCATGTTTTTTATTTCATTTATGTGAATCTATAACTAAATGATAATATTTTAAAAATAGGTTTTTTTTACTTTATTTAATTGAAGAGCTTAACATAATAAATATAAAAATATTGATGTAAGTATAGTGCCAAAAATATTACCTAAACCAACTAGAAGGGTATTATAATTATTAAATTTATTTATTTATATTATATTATTTTCATCAATTCAAACTCAAATTTAGAGAGAGAACAAGCCATCATAAATAATTGATTATGTGAACCTTAGCAAGTATGGGTCGCTAATGTATTGTCATAATATATGGTTGATCTCTTTCAGATTCTGGAGATATGTACTTACTCAAGCAACCCATATTATTGGATGCTTTTTCATATATGCCCTTTTTTTTTTCCCTATCTCTCTTTTTCCTTTTTTGTTTTCTTCAGTTTAGCAGGATCACTTTTTGCTTTTTGGTTGATTTATATTTTGGTTGAGTAAAACTTAAGATAATCAATTGCCTATTTTTCTCCAACTGTTTTTGCAGCCATGTGCCTGCATATATGTCTATGGAATAATTAATTGATAATTAATTTGCAATAAATTAATCAGAGCATTTTAAATGGGAAATAAGAGAGCAGTGACTAAGACTAACTGAGATTGAAGTTCGAGAAATTTTGAGTAAAAGGGCACAAGTTTGACTCTCTGTTTTTACAAATATTTCTTTAAAAAAGTATTAACTAACATATTTCATGAACTGCATTGTGATCAACAATTTGATTTGTTTGAATTTTTCTATTACATACATAAAATAAAAAAGAAATGATTTAATGATTTGTAGTACTTAAATAATCTAGATCTAATTTGGAAGGTCGAAATTTTAATTATTTAGTATTATTTTGATATTTTATGAAAAGAAAATATGCATAATTAAAAATATCTTTCAATTATAAATTTTCAAAAATAATGCTAAGAGAGATAAAAAGACATTAAACTAAAATCTAAACATTTCAAATAATATGCTATTAATAATTTGTAAAATACAATAGTATAAAAAATTTTTTTTTACAAAAACGGTTCTAAGAATAAATTGGAAAGTGTAAAAAATAAATGAGAATATAAATGAAAATAAATGATTTAAATTGAATATTTGATCAAGTTTCAAGCCTAACAAACAATCCGCTCACAAAAGAAGGGTTAGATCCAACAATTGACAAAAAGATAAAACGATTTTAGCATGGTTAATTATCTAAAATGCAAAAGTGTAAAACTATCATCAATAATGAAAAAAATCATAATGATAATTATAACATGAATGATACTTAAAGGCTAAAGCTGCTTTATGAGCAAACAAATGTCAATGTTGTTAAATAAACTCATGATTACATGATTGGTAACTAAAGTAATTACCTTTTGCAAAATTTGTGGTAACTTTTTAATAGTTAACTTAACTAAAGTTCCTCTCCACCAAACTCAAAACATTTTGTTTGAAACTCAAATCACTTTTTGGCTGCTCATTAATTAGGAAGGTTAGATTAATTTACCATCTATTCATACATGTGAAAGAAAAAACAAATTTAAAAAAGTATAAACGACATTTAATTTAATCAATTAATTAATAATCTAATTATGTGGAGCTAGCTAGCTAGGCATTGTTAATTATCATTATCCCTAATCATGACAAAAGGGGTACATACATAGAATAGCCTTTAAATAATGGCCTTACATGTGTTATCAATAATAAAGTAAGTTAGAGAGAGAGAGGGTGTGTGATTCAAAAACACAATCACGATTTTCTCTCTCTAAATCTCTTTTTCTGATGTGTAATGGGCAGAAGATTCTGCTTTGTAATAGTAATATTATAATAATAATTATAATAATAAAAATAATTAAAGCCTTTAATCCCAAGATAGGCTCTCACTTATTAAGAGACAAGAAGGATAGCCACATTTTTCTGTTCACTCACATACTGATTGATAATGAAAGCTACTATACATCAAATATATCTGCCAAAATTAATCACCCTTTTCTCTAGTGATACAGCATTTGCACTGTTACAATTATTACAGTAATTATAATAAAAAATTTCAATTTTTATATTAAATTTATATAATTTTTTTATTCTACTGATTAACTAGGAAAAATATTTTATTTTGTGTAATGTTTCTTCTAAAAAAAGGCTCAATTTTTTTGAAAAATATAATGATTAATTTTTTTAACTAGTTCAGGTGACAAAGACGAAATTAGGTGAGAATAACTCACTCTCATGATGTTAGAAAAAAATCAGGCAAAAAAATGATGTGAAAAAAAGATTGTAGAAAAATATATGAATGGTTCAGATCAAAAAACTATTTTTGATTCAAGTGTAGCCAACGGAAATCATACTTTTAAGAAAAATGCTTAGGTTAACTTTTTTATATTTATTATATTAAGTTTTTTTAATCACACATGGCCATGTGTTTTTTTATGTGAATTTATAATTAAAAGATACTAATATTCCAAAGATAAAGACATGTGACTATATATGATATAAGAACTTGATATAATAAATATAAGAAACATGATGTAAGTATTATTCTAGTTTTAATTATATATATTTTTATACTAAAAGCAGAACTAAAATAGAAGTGAATATTTTAACATAAAAATGCAAGTTTAAAATTTCCTATTATTATTTAATATATCATTTTGCCTTTTTATATTAAAAAAAATGAACACTGTGTTTTTTCAATCATCTCTAATTACTTACTACTAATATTGCAAAAACAATCGTTTGACACCGGAGAATATTATGGAGAAGAAATAATATTTTCCACTCGTTGTGAAAAGTGTTAAGCATAAAGTGAAAAAAGAAATCACAATGAAACAAATTAAAACTTGATTACTGTTTTTTTTTTTTTGGTGTGAGTGTGAAGTAATTTATTTGGGAGAATTACAGTGAGATCCCAAAAAATAGTTATTAAAAATTCCTAATAACAAGTGAGTACCTAAAACTAGTTGTTATTTCCTGCTCTAAAATTTGTTGTTATAGTTTGCTCACTTGTCATGAGATTTTTTAGTGAAAATGTTCTTTCTATCAGATCTTATTACAATTCTCCCAATTTATTTTGATATGAGTGAATATGGAATGGAGGGATAAAAATGACCCATATTGCTTATCCCTAGTTCTATTTGAGAACAATGATTAACGAACTCTTTGGTGAAGGAAAGTAATTTGAGGTTATTATCACTAATGATAAAGAAATCTGCATAAGTCATAATAAGTAGATTTATCATATGAAGGGAGATCAATTCGTTATTGAACTTGTAACATCATTATTGGAATTATGTTGAGTAAGAGATGAAAGCAAGAAAAAAAAACAAACAAATAATATTTAGAAAAAAAAGGGCAATGCTTTCACAAATCATTTACATCTTGATAGTTATATAATTACACATATTGCCAACTGTCAATGGCCTTCTAATTTGGTACTATTTCTGATCCTAAATATAAGAGACAATTGAAAATTTAATTTGATTTTAAATATAAAATTCCAATCTATTTTATCTTTCTTTTTTTTTTTCAAAACAATTTCCATAGAAATTACACATGTTAAAAGGTTTTCATTATAATACGCATGATTAATAAGGATATTTTAGAAAAGATAATACCAACTTATTACAAATAATTAGCTTAATTTAATATTCTTAATATTCATAAATTAGTTATTTAATTTTTATATTAAGAATAGGAAATAGGAGTATGAAAGTTCTTAAGAGGGGGCTCTAAAAGTAAGAGGGGGCAAATTCAATCCTAACTTATTATGTAGTACAGTCACGGAGTGTAAATTTTTTTTCCCTCCCATTGTAACTTGATACTAACTCTATTAAATCACAAGTAGTCTGCTTTTTTCAAAAAATAAATGATTAACGGACTTTTTCTTTTTGACCTGAATTGTAGCAGGTTTTTATTTTTTATTTATTTTTCCCCAACCGAATTGTAGCAGGTTTAAATCTTGGCTTGTAATAATAAAATTATTATTGCTCTTAGCACGGAATAAGGCCTACCCCAAGCTCCATAATCCATAGAAGCAGCGTCAATTTTTGTTTTAACTAAATCTAATTATTAGTAAGAATAGGTCAACAAATTTTATTGAAATTTTTGATGATAAAGCCCAACAAAACCATGAGTACTATATTAATTCCTCCATCAACCCTATTCCTGGATCTGCTTCATTGAGAAAAAAGCCACTATTCAGCAGAGCTGAGTTGTATGCTGCATCAAAGCTGTCATGATGTGTGTGTGTGTGTGTGGTCATGCTTGTTTAATACGTATAAAGATACTTATCTCCTCGTTTAATCAACATTTTTAAAATATCATGAATCAGAATCCAATATTATTCATGTTATCCAAATCAATGATTTTTAGTGTGAATTCTCTTTATACTAGAAGTAGCATAATTCATATATGAATGACACTCTAGAAATGGATGGTGCTAATAAAAGAAACTTGTCAACATTGAGACCTGGGAACTTGTTTGAATTTAAACACACAGTCATAAAGACGGCTCCCAAGAAATTCTGCAACTTCAGGATGTTTAACCTGCAAATATAGAATGAATGGCAAGAAGAGAGAATGAAATATAAGAAAGGCGAATATAAGATCAAAACTTGCAACAGTTTTCATATGATAAATGCATTATTATTACCATTCCGATGTTGAGAGAGTCACATGTAAATTCAGCATGCAGATTTGTTTCTATACCACGGCCCTGTCAAAGGAAACAAGACACTTTTCATATTGGATTTTTCAGGATTGGAAAGATTCTCAATGATGGAATCTAAAGATTCTCAGCTCTGACACAATGAGATTTATTACAGCGGTATTATAAGTATAATTAGAAGTTAATACAGAGTTTTCTGTGAATGAACGGAAGATTTCTTGGCTGCCCCTTTTTTCTCAACCCAGGACAAGGACTCTGAAACAAGGAAACTATTTGATGATCAAACTTAGCTGATGTTCCTGACAAAATTACTGTACAATTTTTCATAAAATCATAACGTGTTATAGAGCAACAAATATACTCAGCTGTTACATTTATCTTATTATAATTGAATCGCACTACTATTTATTACTTGTGAATAATGTGCTTTGGATTTTTGGAATATGGTTTAAGCAACCCGGGAAGGAAGACAATAAGGGGCAGCGAAAGAAGAAATTGGTTGAGGGATATTTTGGTCATATTTTAGTGAAATAAATAAATAAATATAAAATCATTTATCATCCTTTACACAGCGTATCAAACAAGTTCATAGTGATCAACATTCAATTCAATTCCATTTCATTTCAAGCCATCATCATACTTTCCACTAACCAAATGGTCCCTTGAACTTTTTCCATCCTTATTCCAGCTCCGGGCCTGCTTAATTCTGCCTATCAAAGCCCAGCGTTGTGTCTATCCTAATTTAATGCGATTAAAAGTGACTCTAACAATATCCAAGTAAGAACTCACCATCCCTTCTAATATGACTAGATCTGTATCATTGGCCAGGCATGCAATTTCTTGTGACACGCGTGTAAGATCAATAACCTGCAACACGTAAAACCAAGAAGATAAAGAAAGAAAGACGTAGCCACCATAAGAAATAACAAAGAACCTTGCCAAGTTTCTTACCGGCAAATCATTGCCAGAGTTAGCAACTACAAGATTTGAAGTATCCACACCCATTAGCCGTCCTTCTTCATCCTTTAACTGGCAACCAACATATTGGTGTTGGCAAAGAATATGGTTGTAACATAAAATAAAATAAAATAAAAAATTAACAAATTTATTTTCATCACCTTTGATATAATTTCAACTAACTCAGGGTAAGTTACATCGTTAATGGACGGTAACTCATTAGCGGCCAATACAACCTGCATTCAAATGGAATTTTACAAGACATACCGAAGCTGGCAGGGCTATACAACGAAAATGTGAAATGCAATCTGAGTTTCAGGTAAAAATCTGGAACGGGAAAAGAGCAAAAGAAAGCCAAGCACCTACAGTAAGACAGTCATTCTACTGACAATTCTACAAGAAAGAAGTATCAAGTGGGTCTAATGCATGCATTAAAATATTCCTCCAGTCATAAATGTAAAACCCATTTTGTAGTGTAAACCGGAGGAGTAGATTAAATGTTCAGAAATTATTATCTCTGATGAAGTCCTGGGAATGCAAAGATAAATAACAAAATTCATAATTCCTACAGTGCTTTATGCTGCAAAAACAAATTTCTGGTTCATCATAATGATCTATTAAACTTCCCACAAAAAACAAAGGCAACTACTTCTTCCTCCTCCCCACCATTAAAAAAAAAAAGAAAAAAAGGGGGGGGGTGGACAGAGAGGAGTTCTGGTTTTTCAACAGCCAGAGAAAAAGACATGGCCCAAAAGAGATATGTACGCAAGCAAACCTGAATCCCATGCCGAAGTAGCTCCCTTGCAAACGGCAAAATACCCAAAATGATATCAGCACCTGAATTATCAACAAATATGATAACCTGTTGTGACAAAAATGAACGGCTTAGAACATTATTGCTACATAACATTTTGGGTTTAAGCCAAACGAAATAAAATTCCTTCCAAGAACCATATTTATATACACATGAAACCTGCCTTCTTCCATGATTTCTTGCTCCATTTCAGTTTGAAAGTGTCAAGGTCATCAATAACCCAAGGTCGTGGGACGAGACTTTGACAAGTAGCCAAAAAGGACACTCCCTCCTTAGCATAAGCCTCTGCAAGCTTCAAGAAATTGTGGGAATAAAAAGATAATACACAACGTAATAAAATAGGACGAGTTATATTTATCCCAATTTCGACATATGATTGTAAAATACTCCATGACAGTCATAATCAATTTCACATGCTTTCATAACATTAAAACAAACTTGGAATGAAGTTTAAATCTGTATGGTTTTCCATGCAAAAATTTTGACCAAAGGTTCCAAATACAGATCATAGAATGTGACAATGGCAGTTAAACTAGCCATAAATTCTAGCATATGCTAATTGAGAGCCATTGGGGAACTTTATTTTCTTCACAGATAATTAGCCAAAACCAAGACTACTGGTCCTACCAGAGAAATTAAGGCACACAATAGGGAAGCATGGGGATAAATGAGATAGTAACGCAGCACAGTTTGTGAAAGGATATCCAAAGTTACAGATCATAGTTAAACCAAAAAATACATGTTCGCGTCAAGAATTAAGCTTAGTTCAGTTTGATCCAATAATATTAGTTATGTATGCAGTAGTTCTACAATAAGGAATAGAAAGCTAACTTACCTGTGCAGAACCAAGATCAAATATATTTCCTGCCAAAATCCCTCTAACTAGATTCTCAAGTCTCTTGCCTTCATCCTCAATAGCATCGTTAAGTCGAACAACATCCTCAAACAGGGTCATGGCATTTGCATTCTCCTCTTCCTATTGCATTCACTCGGAAAGGAGTAACAAAAGTTAACCAAATAGGTCAACATTGTTCACCAATGATGTTATGATTCCATCCCTATTCTTATTAATGAAACTGGTAACAACATATGTCAGGATTCAACAACAGCTATAGGTTTAAACTGATTTTAGCCATCCATGTCTGAAAAGCAGTGCTAATCAATTTCCCAGTACTCTTTACGCATGATTTCTCATCATTTCAACCATTATAACCAGATGCGCACATGGTTTTCTTCTTCCTTTTAATAATGATGTCTGTATAGCATTAAGGTACAAGACATGTAGCCAAACTTACCTTAACTCTCTTGAAGATATCTCTGAATCCTAATTCTCTTAGTACTTGCTCACGAAGCCTGCAGATAATCTAGAACATCCCTTCCCATAAAGAGGAAGAAAAGAAAAACACAGAAGGGGGGGGGGGATCAGATTCGTTATTCAACGGCTATATTATTTCTCTCCTTGTTCTTACTTTCTACAGGGATGAGGCTGTGTGGGGATGACATAGCATACAACTTTAGCAGAAGAACATACAATTCCATCAAGTCTCCAGCCATGACTTTCAGGATTCTTCTTGAAATCTTCAAGCATTTCAGCATATCTTTACCAAATATGCAATATTAATAGAAGCAATCAGGATCTCCCACACTAACAAGAATTTTGATTTACTCAAATCAAGAGAAAAGAAACGTAAATAAATGACATGCACAAGCCTAATGATCAAAAAGAAACTTTATTCCCTTCTGATTTCCAGATGTATGTTGATGTTTATCATTAAAAGCGAAAATCTATACGTGCAATGGATCTCTGAGCTAAACAGAAAAGAAGAAGAAAAGCAACAAACGATTACCTTTGAGCAAATTTCTCAGCCCTATTAGCAGCATCAGGAACAGAAGGATCACTCGCTGCACGCTTCCTGTATTATTTACGCAAGTGTAGCTGGTGCAATGAGTGCTAGAGTAGTCAAATATGCCCCCTCCGCACACACACGAAGGGCAATGTAGAAAAGAAAATATACAAACAACAAGATCCTCACTTTAATTTGGTATCACCCCCATAGGGCTCGGACAAGTCTTACCTTCTAACTAACAACGGGTCACAACACCCCACCTTTTGTAATTTTGGAGAGACTTCAAACACCCAAAAAAAAAAAAAAACCGGCGGAAAAAAATAAAAAAATGTGACATTTATTAATAAACAGCGTGTCTAAAATTACTTTCGGAGAGCTGATACAGAAGGAAAACTTAAAATGTTTGCAAGCACACCAAAGATGTGATTTTGAATTCAGAGTAAGAAAGTTAAGAGATACCCTCAGAAGCTATCAGTGCTTTTTATTATTTCACGTTATAAGATTGTTCATAGTTTCAAGAAATTACAATGGAAACTATTGAAACATTAGTTTGTTGTCCTACCTGCTACCATTTCAATTACTCCCTTTTTAATAATAACTTCCACAATTAACCAGCTGAACTAGGTTATTGGTAGCCAATCCCAGCACAAAGACAATACAAAATTCGCCCTAATTCAGTACGTGAATATATATATATGTATATACATTAAAAAACCATGGTAAATTCAGTTGGAAAAGAGGCCCCAAATGCCAAAGACTTAGATCAATTATCATTGCTAGTTTTGCCGTGGAGAAGTTGACCTCCTGTGCTGGCTTACAAGAAGGGCATCCCCCCTCAAGCCTCAAGGTTAAACACCTTGAGAGGGATGCCACAAGATAAGCTTATGCGATAACCACAAAGTCTATAGAAGTTGACAAACACCAATAAGTGATAGTATACTTAACAAAAATGAGAATCGGCACCAGGTTAACGTTAGCCAAAAATATTTGTGTTTATCCAAAAATTTATTAGTTCATGCCGTTTAAAATATAGGATAATTTTTGGGACGTAATCATTAAATGGGATGCTTAAAAGTTTAGCATTTAACATATCTAACGTTCTAAATTCATAGCAAATCTACCTTATCAAGAATTATAAAGAGTAATAATTGAATGAAGAAATTTTACAGGCATTTTCTTTTAAATATAATACACAAGCTAAACTCTAAAAGTATGTGAAGCTGCTCCTTCAAAGCTAACCAATGGAAATGCTGACGCCACGTGGATATCATCATAATCCCTCACATGGCTAAAACGCATTGTGTAAAATTGCAAATCAAGGTTGGAAGAATTCAAGAAGACCGGAAAAAAAAACCCATCATCGAACTGCTCGAGCAGAATGGCCCGACATAAAATCCAAAACGCACCACCAAAGAACGAAATAACCAATAGCGCAGTACTGCATTTCAAATGAAACAAGCAAAATTTCCAAACCAGGAACTAAAAAAGACCGACACAGAGCAGAAGAAGAAGTAGAAGACCCGTACTTGAAGGAAGGGATGGTGCCAAGAAGAAGATTAATCCAAGAAAGCTCGGTGGGAGTGGGCTTGAGAGGATCATCAGAGGGCAGTCTATAAGGAATAGTGCCAGCTTTGTAATTGGAACGTACCAACAATGGGAAATCCACCGGCTCCGACGATGATTTCTCCATGTTGTGCAAAACGACTCGTGGGAGAGGAAAAGAGAAGAACTTTGTATTTTTTGTATGGAAAGGAGGAAAGAAACGCAATGTCGTCATGGATTTTGCTTCCGTACTGTAGTACTGTGCCTTTCCCGTGTTAAGGAGCCACTAACCAATTAGGACGAAAAGAAAAAAAGAAAAGAAATTTATGGAAGAAATTAATAGCCACTCAGTAAAGAAGAAAATTAGATTGATGGATCAATGGATAAAATGCTTGGAGAGAAAGAATATGCTCTCAGGCTTTGGATGATTGGTTATGATAACAAGTTTGGGTGGCTATCCAAAAAAAAAAGTTTGGGTGATTAAAAAAATGGTTATATGTAAATTGGAGTCTCAAGACAGTGGTAACATTCACAGTTTAAAACCAATATAAAGAGGCTGGCCAAAAAAAAAAAACCCAATATAAAGAGAGGTAATTGGTTTCACATCCTTACTTATAAATTTAATTTAGAATGGTGTACTAAGAAAAAGTCTCTGTGACAATGAAAATAAATGCATACTTCAATCTATTATTTTTTTTCTAGAGTAGTCAATTAAATTAAATGATAAAAATAAAATTACGTAAGGATAATTACATACACATGACAGCAAACATTAGATACTAATAAGTTCACAAATCGGAGTATGAAAGCCTTAGGGGCAACTACTACAAGCTCAATTTTTGGCCATAACAAGTTCAATTCTTTTCACAAGATTCTTACTAATCATACATAATAATACCAAGCTCAACGACTCTACAATTTAAACATTGTGTAATTTGTTTGTTTTTTTGTTTGGTGTAAACAGTAGATTTTTTTTTTTGGCGATTTTGTTCTTTTCCTTTTCTTTTTGTTCTTTTTAAACAATGAATCATCAAAGGCCAACAAATAAGCTAGTCAGCAGAAACTTAACATCATGGCCAAATTAACATTTCAAATAGTGAAAGTTTATAGGTTTGAGATAATTATGATTTGAACCCCTATTGAGTTGGTTATATTATTGATGTAAATCTTTGCACATAATTTTTTTATGATTATCAGGGAGGTCAATGTAATGAATAAAGCTCATGTTCTTTTGAAATTACACAAGTGGAGAATGATTCTGACAAGAACATGAATAATTTTAAAAGAGAATTACAATAAGATCTCAAGAAAGAAAAACAAGTACTAAAAAAATCCTAATAACAACTTAAACAGCTTGTAATGATAAATTTCAGAATAAGAAATGATAACTTGTAAAACTTGTTTTGTAATTATTTTTTTCCTTAAAACTTCATTGTAATTCTTCCTCATTTTAATGCCATAGATGCAAACACAACAGTACGATGGCTGCTACTACGAGGAAAGCGATGGAGAAAGTTTGAGATTACTTTGATGAATCAGAAAAATGAGTTAGGATGATAAGGGCAATGCTTGAGTCAAACCCAGATTTGAGAAGCCGAAAGCCAGTTGGAATAATTTATTCCGCTTGGATTACCTTTTTTTGGTCCAAATCCAATCACGTTTAAGATTATAACATAGGTTTCTATTTGCGAACTCGTGAAAACTCCAATCTAAACACCTACCAATAGACAGGCAAGACACAACAGAGACAGCCCAAAATAGTCACGTTTACCCACCTCAGACGTGTGAAGGACCAATATGTTCACAGGTTCCGTTAAACGACTTCACCGTTAGCTTTGACGAAGAGACTGGCGGGGGGCGCAAAAAAACTTTGAAAAAGAGGCTGATGAAAAAGCATCAGGGCAACACATTCGAAGACAATTTAGCGGTTACCGTTCGCGTGAAGCAGAAGTATAATTCATGGCCTCATGGATGGTGTTGGCTGGGGAACACCGAAGATGATACCATACATCTCATTCCAAGGGTTTAAGCACAACTGCAATATGCTTCAGTTACACAAAATTCAACTAAGTAAATCCTCATATCTCATTCCAAGGGTTTAAGCACAACTATAATATGTTTCAGTTACACAAAATTCAACTAAGTAAACGCTTCTCTGATGACAAAACTCTTGAATCTTATTCAAACGCCACTTCAAAAACCTTAGTACGGTTCCACTGGGGCTCTGAATTTAGACCCAGCATAGACTGCTGCTGAACCAAGTTCCTCCTCAATCCTCAGAAGCTGTAACCCATTTCAAACAGATCAGTGACGTGGAAATGCATTCCATATACAACACATGTAAGTTCGCCTAAATATTTCTATCACTTTGCTCCCGATGGAAGGAGTCCGTGGTAAAGAACAGATGAATTATTAAAAGCCCCAAACACTTGAGTTAGGTCTCCAAGCCAACTAGCGTATAAAATGGTTTCTAAGGGGGAACAAATCTCAGCTATTCATGGTATTCAAGCATATCCATTTAGGATGCGTTCGGTATGTAGAGAAGTTATTGGAAGAAAGAAAGCGAAAATGTGAGGAAAATAAGTGGCTTTGTTGGGGGGGGGAAAAAGCTTTTCATGTTCATGGGAGTCTTCCCTTTCCCGTTCACCAAACAGCCCTCAGTTCATCTAACATGCCAAAACACTAGATCAGATACACAAAAAAGTAAGGATGGCACAAGTTTTACCTGGTTGTACTTAGCAAGCCTTTCTGACCGGCAAGGAGCTCCAGTCTTGATCTGTCCCTGTTTTTCGATAATAGAGAATATGACCAGACATGAGCAAAAAGTTAAAAACCCATTTGTCCTTCGAAAAGCAAGACAAAGATTGGTTTCAACCTCAGAATAGCAGAAGAGAAGAAAAGTCAAATTTTTCAATCAACACAAGATCGGGGTAATTGATTTCAACCTTAAATTAGGTAGTTAAAACAAAATTGGGCAATAGTGCACAATGTACATACTAAATTACGACATGCAAACATAACACACAAGCAACAAGTATGTGTGATTAACTGAAGAAAAAGCATCTGACAATTTACCGTTGCCAAGCCAACTGAGAGGTCAGCAATGAAAGTATCCTCAGTTTCCCCACTGCAATCAACAAGACAAATTACATGAACATGCACTTGCAAAGAGTAAGACTTGAGAAAATATCATAGACAGTACATAAAAGGGAATGGAAAGGGAGTTAGAGCATGTAATACCTCCTGTGGCTAGCCATAACACCCCATCCAGCTCGTTTAGACATTTTCACAGCTTCAATACTCTCGGTTACACTACCAATTTGATTCACCTGGTAAATGAACAGAAATAAATTCTTCAGAATTGATATAGAATCTCAGAACAAGTGCAGAACTAGATATTTCTTTTTGTTCTTTTTAAGAAAAACTACATTAAACCATCATTGCACTGTCAACTCTAAGGTGATCCCAAAAACCACCGTTAGAAACAAAAGGCAAAAAGCTAACTTACCTTCAACAACAGGGCATTGCAAGCCTTCTCCTTAATTGCTTTCTCCACACGCTGTAGCAGCAACAATGGACAGAGTAATGTCAAGATGTTACATTTCCAAAACAAAACTCTTGAGATTGCAAAGCACAATTGCAGTACCTTTGGGTTTGTGACCAGAAGATCATCACCAACGATTTGCACTTGCTGGCCAACTTCACCTGTTAACTTTGCATAATGCTCCCAATCATCCTCATCAAATGGATCCTCAATGGACACAATTGGGTAGTCTGTTACGAATGATTTGTACACATTCTTCAAGCTGTCTCCTGATATTTTCTGGGACCCATCATTATTCTGCAATAATGCAATTATAACTCAGTTAATTTGGTGACTGTAACCCTACCATTTAGAATTATCACACTTATGTTTCTTCAAAGCATAGACGCTAAACTTCAAACCAACTGATAGCTACTTAAAAGAAACCAACTTAGCCCACGATTGTTTAAACGAGATAAATTGGATATCAAATCAAAAACAAATTGGAAAAAGTTTTTCCTACCTCTTCCTTAAAATTCAAGTCATAAGTTTTGTCATTGTTGCTATAAAATTCTGAAGCAGCAACATCCATCCCAATTACAACCTGCGAGGACAAGAAATTGTCAGCCATAACCTAAGATGCCAAAACAGATTCAGCAGATGAAAGCCTTACCTTTCCAGTGTATCCAGCTTTTGCAATGGCAGTCTTCAGCAGCTCAAGACCCTCTTTGTTTTCCTGTAAATCAAATATATGTCATAGCGAGTTCAAAGTTAAAAACCATAACGGAGGTACAAGATATCTTCTTCCGAGCTAATCATTTTTTATACATGTTAATTATCATGTCACATAAAAGTATCCTTGATATGCAAGGAAAATATGGGCCTCACACCTCAGGCTAGACGAAATGATCAAACCATAGGCTATTTTCTAAACAATGCCTAGCCTGCCAAAAACAAGGAGAAAGGACCTGGATATTTGGAGCAAAGCCACCTTCATCACCAACATTGGTAGCATCTTGACCATACTTCTTCTTTATTACAGCCTGCAACATATAATACAGCATAATATATTTATCAATGACACCACTGCAACAAATTGGAGGACACTCACCTACATCGCCAATGCAAATACCTTTTTATTCCTTTCATTTGTTATTAAATTTAAAATTTTAAAATAACAGGTGAAACAGTAAATTAAGAAAAAGGGAGAATACTCACCTTCAGGTGATGATATACTTCAACCCCCATCTTCATAGCTTCCTTGAAGGAAGAAGCACCAACAGGGAGAATCATAAATTCCTACAAAAGAGGCCACGATGAGTGAGTATTTGAATTGGAAAAGATCCTTATCCATTTGAAGCAAGCTCACAACGTACCTGCATTGCCAATTTGTTGCCAGCATGCGAACCTCCATTGATAACATTGAATGAAGGTACGGGAAGAACCAAAGTTTTATTTCCAGCCAGATTGGCGATGTGCTGAAATGTCAAAAATTGAAACCGTACCATCATAAAGCAAATACAATAATCACATTGAAATTAAGAACTATAATTATTTAGGTCTAGCGTACCTGGTAGAGAGGAATCTTCTTCACCAAAGCACCTGCCTTACAAACAGCCAGTGATACTGCCAAAATAGCATTGGCTCCAAGCTGAAATGGAGAAAAAAATAATGAAAACCAAAACAATTCAATAGAAGCTTAATAAAACTAAATAAGGTGTCACAATCTCAAGAAACAAAATAGAACACAGTAACACCTTCTGCTTGCACCATCCCCACTCATTCACCGTTCCATCAAGTTGTTGTACCATGTAATTGTCAATTTCAGCCTGCTTGGTCGGGTCCTATAAATGCAGAAAAGAATAACAGTTTATCATTTAACGCCTAATGAGATTCAATCAATAAGCAATAACAAGTGTCGCATACTACCTTGCCAACCAAAGCAGGTCCTATAATTGCGTTCACATTCTCCACGGCCTGAACCAAGGCAATTTTCAGAATTCATGAGCAGATCCAGTTCATCCACGAAATCCCCCCCCCCCAAAAAAAAAAAAAAAAAACTCCCCATCCACACGTACACAGTGAAAATGTAACAGCACATGTTGAAAGAAAAAAAGGAAAGGGGATGTAGCAAGGGGCTATCTAAACGCAACTGATTTTAAAATTTAAATGCCATGGTGCAAAATTATTGTCGTAAAAAATACAAAACATCAAATACCTTTGAAACGCCTTTTCCAAGGTAGTCTGAACCCCCATCCCTCAATTCTAGAGCTTCATAGACACCTTCAGCGAAAGGCAAACCGAGTTAGGGCTCATTGCATTTAAAACCTCCAACTCATGACTAGTAGGTATTAAAATAACAGGCAAAAATGATGCGCAACGCTTATAGTTTACAATAAGCCGATCTCATTTCGCATTGTGCAAATGCTATCGATGAAGCTGAAGCGACATTCTGACCTTTACTAAAGCCAAAACTACTAAGGAAAAAGGGAATAAATAATGTGTAAAAAATAAAAAAACGCATTCACTGCGAAATCCAAGCGACTGAGTAACATCAATGTATATGAAAGCGACTACGCAGCGAAGGAAGGATGACTAATAGAAGTGGAAAAGAAAACAAACACACCCACACTCAATCAGTTCTGAGATTTTTTTTTAATTTTTTTTCACGAAACAGCAATTGCTCACCTGTTGAAGCACCGCTAGGCACAGCAGCTCGGGCGAAGGTTCCATCAGTAAGAGTGACATCAACCTGACAAGAGAAGCCACATTAAGATATCACAGAGATTGACAAATGATGACATAATAACCGAATCCGAATGCAATATAGAACAACCTAAAAAAACAGTCACAGAAGTTCGCGTACTCTTAAATTACTCTCAACACTAAATCAAGCTAACTGATATATCATTCAAGGCATAGTACGAAGAAGGCTCATCGACATTTTTGAAAAAGTTCCACGCGATTTCTCAGCGCTCAAACAGAAACTAAACACGACATTAGCAGATGAAACACACCTCGACGGTGGGATTACCACGGCTGTCGAATATCTGGCGAGCCTTCACAATCTTGATCGTTGTCATTGTTAGATCTCTCGGAGAAATCGCACGCTCCCACAGACTCACACCACTCGGTTCTTCCGAACGCTTATACAAGAGAAAATGACGATGCGCGATTTGTATATATAGACAGGTAACACGTGGCAGCCTCACACGGGTGGTTGAACCTCAGCCGTTGGTCGTGATGAACAAGAGCGGATATTGAGCGGTTGAGATTTCTTACTTGGGCGATACGAGAGACCGGGGGCCCGAAAAGCCTGAAGCGCATGAAGCATATCGAAAGGAATATACCAGGCATGGAAAAAAAGAGGAACAAAACTGGAATTTCACGGAGCGCAGAGAAGGGCAAAATTGGAATTTCGTAGGGAACCTGTCATGAAAAGAGGTGATATGGGCGCACCCAGTTTTGGAAACATGAACCCTTCCAATGGTTTGGGTTAATTGTTTCTGATCATTACCATGACCTGTGAGTCCAAGAAGGGTGGTTTGTTTAAACTTCAAAAGGTGCATTTCCATGTTGTGGGCATAGCCAGTTGATTTGGATTTGAGTGTACAAAATCATGTTCACCCATTTCTTGTGAAAATGGCAGCCTTTCCTCATCATGATCAGTGGATGATGTGGCGGTGGCGGGCCGCTAATGCTGATTAACTGGTAGTGAGGTGACATTTGACTGGTAATAAGCCTTTTCTTTCTCAAAGACAACTTTTAGTGGTGATAAATTGTTGGGATTAACCACCTGCCATTTGGTCGAGTGGCATGCGTGTGTGTGGAGTGTGTGCGTGCGGGTTCAATCCCGCCCCTTGTAACAAACAAAAAAAGTTGTTGGGATTGAAAGTAGGGAGAATTACAAACAAGTCTCTTAGAAGAGAAATAATTACTAAAAAATTCCAATACACTTGTTTTTCAATTGTTTTTCTTGTTTGGAACCTCATTGTAATTCTTCCTTAAAAGTAATCTTTAACGATGATTTTTTTTACTTGCAGTGATAATGTTAAAATACACTTTTGAGGCAATTCTTATTATGACCATGGAAAACTTGTTATAACTATAGTTAGGACAATAACTTTTTAACGGTGATTTTTATATTTTTCGTGATGACAAAAAGTCATATCAAAAATCAAATTTTTTAGTATAATATTTTAGTAAGATATCATTAAAACAAATATAATATTTTTTAAATTATATTACTTCCTAGTGTTGTTGCTAACAAAAATGATCCAATAAACCCTTATTGGCCTCTCAAAGTAGTTGATTAAAAATTAAAATATTAATTGTGTGCTTTATTTGGGCAATAAGCATCTCTTAACATCAATCTGTAATTTTAAGTTAGTATGCATTAATTTCTTTCCTAGAATCATTATTAGTAATTTTTTGAGGCTTTTATTTTTGTAATTTTTTCAATCAATTAACAGTCAAAATAACACATGTTTAGGTAAGAGGCCCTAGTGCTTCACTTCAGTACTGTTACTTTTAGAGTGGCAAGTGGGTCTAAAAAGTCCAACATCAAAATTGAATATCAACGAATTGCTATATGCTGATTATTCAAGTCACATAAATTTCAGCTCATACTTACTTAGTTAAAGGTATAACCAAAAAAAAAAAGATTTTACAACAAATGTTTATGCTAATAATGATATATAGCATCCCTTTTCTAAGGATTCATTCATAAATTGCAATTCTGCTTCCCTAACAAAGCCCAAAAAGTAGCCAGCAGAAACGGAACCGTTTCTGAAGTTCTTCACAAAGCTTCGAGCAGCCCCATTATACATCATTGTGTACCCCACATCCATATATGAATCCTCCTTAGCATAACTATTTTCCAAGGTATTTCCACATATATAAGACAATATTACGTAATAGACCAAGTTTCCAATTAGCTTTTACCAAGTGGTTATATGGCTTTGTACAGTAATAATCTGGCAAGAACATAGTTGTCTTTAAAGCCTACCATGATCTCCTCTATTCATCGAGTGATAAAACACTACATCCAGAAGCTTTTAAAACTCGGCATTCAGTTGCAGAAATAAAAGGACTAAATACTTGTATATCTCCCATCCATTCGAAATGACTTTTTCATCAATATTGCAAGACTAGGATGCAGTCTTGAATTCTCATTCAATTCAATGCTACCATGCATTATCATAAATTATTACCATTTTCATCAATTCTGATCCCATCACCCTTTGAAAATGTTTAGAAATGGGTGGAGTTTCTAGCCTGTCCTGAAAATTACAATAGAATTGAGAGCTCTATTCCAACTTGTTGATGCATCTTTCTCTTTCTTGTATCAATGTTTCTTCTCTACAAGGATCAGTTTGTTCATCTATTTTCCTTCCTATGGCCTGCAGAATCCATATATCATTATTATAGGGAAGATCATTCATAAATTGTGGCTCAAGGTTGAAGAATGAAGATCCAATTCAAATGTTGAAGAAAAGATAAAGAACGATGATCTGTCCTCATTGTGAATTCAACCGTAAATCTGTTAGCAGTCCAAATAGGCCTCAGATGATTTGGACCCACATTCTAATATGACAACTTCACTTAACAGATCAGGATTCCGATTTGCTTGCAATAGCTTATTGTATAATTAAGGGGAGAGCACAAGGTGGCATGAAGAATAAAGTTGGCCCTAGAGCCTTCCTTGTTCCATCTTCATTGAAGCATAAGACAGAACAGCCAGGAGCTTCTAATATTCACCAGTCAGCTGCAGAAAGAATAGGGTCAAATACTAGTATATTTCCAATCCATTTGAAATCTGTTTGCATGAATAATGCAAGACTAAGCTGCAACCTAGATGTCTTCTACCGTGATTCAAGTTCAAAGCGACCAATACCATATATTAGCATCTGCATCTTTGAGTATGAACCCAAAACCTTGTGTAGATATGTTTAGAAATCGATGAAGTTTGTTTGTAGCTGGTCTTGAAAAATGTGATAGAATCGAGAGTTTCCACGTTTCTTTATACAGCTTTCCATTCTCTGCAACAATCTTTCTTCTCTACAAGGATGAGTACGTAAATCACTTGGAGCCCATGGTTGTAGTACTGTGCTTGTCGTAACACGTCGTTCATTCAAAGCAGTTTCCATTTACACAGATACAACCGAGTTGCTTATCTCGAGAAGAGAATAATGGAGTGCAAGCGATGAAGCTCATTCTATGTCATTATTATAAAACAAACTTGAAAACAACGTCGCTGCATGTTAAAGGGTCTAAATTCTCTGCGCAATGCAAAAACATAATAAACTTAAAAGCCACCAAAAGTACCCCGTGAGAGAGATGACATGTTAATTAGAAAGGTCAAATTTTCCACATTTTAGAAACCTCAATTAAAATGGCTCGATCCATCAAGACCTGAAGTTCTACAAAACTATAAGGAAAAAAATGGAGAAATATTGCTATCATCTAATCTCTGAGTTCTATCTCATTCTTTATTTATATTTTATATAGATTTTTTCCTTTAGTTGCAGTCTTTCAGGATATCCCTTGTTTTTACGGTGAAATAAACATTCTTTTTTTCTGAATAATAAGTTATCATAGGAGTATTTTCTTGTCCCTTCAGTTTGTTTTCTGTTTTTATCGATACAGCATTTATTGATTTTCCTTCTTGTTTCCCTTTTCAGTGGATAGGAATATTAGCTGAGATCTCAAATTATAATAGATCCACTAATACTTCTTTTCATGCTAATGATTTTCTTTCTATATATTTGAATGACGCAAGACACATACGTCGATACAAAGACGGGAAAAGGTTGCGCAATCTTTTTTTTATGCGCAAGATTTACTATGCTTGTATTATCTTTCTTCAATAATATTATCTATTTTATTATGTTCTTTAAATTGTAACAATAGAAAAAATAAATATTTCATTTCATCTAATTTTTTCTTTTCATTTCTCTTTATAGAGTGGGGAACATACCCTCAAGTCAAGAATACTAGAATTTACCATTGCATATTAGTCTGGGGTATGAGTAAATTAATAATTAAAATGTTATAACTACTTTAAAATCTTGATCATGATTCATGATATCAATTATAATATTTTAGCCACAGAACAAACTCTTCCATTATTTGATGAGAAGAAAGAAGCAACCCAGTTAAACAAAGAGGGAAGCAAAACAAAATAACAAAATAGAAAGGGAGGAACGAAGTTGCAAGTTGATAGATTAGTCGTATCATCTTAACTATTTTTGCTACATAGTTAGTTTAGTAGGCTCCTCACAATAACCATAAAGTGACGCCTTGACCAACGTCTCCTTGCTCCCGACTCTGCCTGTATTCTCACAACAAAGACGGCAATGAGTCTTTAAAAGTCATATTGCTAATTATTGAATCTTGTTATTCTTCTGCTAGTTTTTGCTTCACAAATCCTGAGGATAAACTGTAAAGAAAACCTCTAGTTTCTTCTTGATATGCAAGTGATCAAGGAACGACAAGACGACGAAGCCATTTTCTTGGAAGAAAGAAGAGGAGGGCATTCTGAAAATCATATATACCACGGTTTGTATTTAATGTCGAAAAGTAATCACAAATGTTTAATTCCACTTTTTTAAAAAAGGACATGGTGTCTCCAATGTTATGCTCCTAATATTTTGGTTTCTTTGTTTATTTATTTTATCTAAATAGTTTATCAGATCAGTCATGTGAGGCTTGTTCACATTAGTGGGTCATGTTTATAGGTAGTTTCTTGTTATCTTGCCTTATTTAATTGTCATTGTTAAATAATGTGGAATGCTTGAGAGATATCGGGATAGTTGGAGAAAAGTCTGGGAAGTAGTTTCGTGGCCCTATATTATATAGGACCATGTTGAAATTGTTTTGACATATAGAAATTCCAGTTATGCATTCCCAAAGATATTCTCAATTTTTTATGTTTTTTTTTTTTGCCTTTTATCATTTCCTCTATTGTTTTATGGTATCAGAGTGGTACCGTGGAAGCATGGTGGGTCCATAACTCATAGGATCCTAAGATCGAAATTTGGCTCTGATACAATGAAATAATAACTAAAAGTTGAGTGTCGATCATTTGTACCTCCAACCCAATTTGTATCAATAAATCCACTTAACACAAAGCTTTCGCACCTCTTATATAAAATACTATAACC